AGCAGTTCTTTGCCTTCTGTCTTTTAAAGGGACCTGAATGGACAATTACTGTTTCTGAAATGTGCTATGGCCACCATTTTGCCTCATCTATTGTTCAAATATCTCTGTGCAGCCAAAATGTGGGCAATGAAAAGGTGCAAGTTGTGTAGTTATCCATATGCTGAGAGCTATCAGTTCCACGCTTATTGTCTCTCAAACAACGTCATTCATTACCTAGCATCATACTGAGAAAAGAGAGAAGACATTGGCAGGGATTCCACCTAGACAAAGCTGAGGTAAAATACGGATTGGAGTCATTTTAGCTTAGGGTACATCTCCATCATTAGTTATCAAGCTTCTAAATGTTGAGCTTATTTTACATAATCTGTATCCATTTAGCAGTCATACTGACAATATTCATCTTAACATTGGCGCCTGAGTCAAGAAGTTGCAGTACCCAGAGGGTTGCAGACACACACAGGAGGAAGAAATAAATTCTTAAAAAGTTTTTGAATTGGGACCTATAGGTTCTGCAATTGCTTATTCTGAAAAACAAACAGAAAAATTAACTCCAATATACAGGCATTCTCTCAGTACTCAGCAGACTACTTACTATAAAGAAAGTGTTCAACTTTTCCCTCTCTTCACAAGAAATAGAACACCAAATGGGTTACAGTGGAGTAAAGAAATCATAATTTGGATTTTAGGAATGCCCTCTAAGTGTAGTGTAGTTCTGGCGGAGATTTCATAGGGTGGCACTGAAATTTTCTTGATGGGAAGATTTTCATATTTTTAAAGAATACATGTAGGTTAGGCAAACATCTCTCAGGTTATCTAGACATCTTGCTGGCAAGCCAGGCAAATGAGCCAAATGATTTTCAATGTCCATAGGACATCCTTGACTGCTAGCATAAAAGATCACCCTTCTTTTTACATCATGCTACAGGAGTTAAGATCAGCAACGATCATTACCAAATTGCCACTTGGAAACAAGATGATGGGCATGGGGGTGTGACATGTAATGAGACTTACTCTTTAGGGTACTTTGTAGGAATCTCTCCACCATTTACTGTCCTTCTGGGATGTAGCTGTGATTAAACAACAGGGAGGTATTTCAGGATGCTTCTGGGCTGTTCCTCTAACAGAGGAAGCACTTGCCACCATTCCTAAAAACTCATTGGAAGCAACTTGAAATACATATTAAAAAAAAAAAAAAAAAAAAAAAAAAAAAGTGGAAGATCTATTTGTTCTCTAGGTTGGTTAGTTTGTTTTCCAGGCATCCATATGAAATGCAGAAAGCCTGCTCTGGCCACAGCTCTTACTCAGGTGAACAAATTGTCATTTTATTTTTTTCTAACTGTCACTTGCTCCTTATCTTGCTATAGGCAACAAAAAAGAACAAAGTTGGATAGTCACAGACTCTCTGAATCATCATTCAAAAAGCAAAGTATATAATTGCATTTAAATCAGCTTGTACATACACCCCAAGATTTGAACACATTAATCTTTATAAACTCACAGTCTTGTTTTAATTTCTGTTCTAATAAAATTCAGCTGTCCCTTCATGACAGCTTTGAGAGATTTACTTTCCCCATCCTCTTCATTTTATTCTGCCACATTTTCTCTGAGCATCTAGCTTATAGATTTTCTCCAGCTAACAGGCTACTTGGCTTCCACCTGTTCAATAATTCAAATGCATGCATCAAATGCACATATGGCATATTTACAGGTAGCAACATCCCCTTTTCTTTCTCCCTTTTCATAGCCAGGCAATTCTCACATAAGTTGTACAGAGATAACACATGCCTGCTTCCCTCCGTGGTTCTGCCTTGTGCATCAGCCTCTCCTGCTCCCTCCCTGCAGACCTCCACACCATTGCTCTTGCAGCCTCGGGTGGAAGAGATGACCCTTGAGCAAAGCCTGGTGGCATCGAAGGCTTGGCCTCCCTGGCAGCACGGCTTTAAGGCAGGCATGAATATCTCATACAGTGGCAGCAGGGCTCTTCAGGTGCACGTGCAGCGCTGGTAGGGAGATCAAAGGTATGGTTGCCATGCTTACATGCTCGCATGGAAAAGTGCTCTCCCTCGGCTCTTTCCCTCCTTTCTCCCCGCCCCCACCATGACATTTGCCAGCTCGCTATTCTCATAGTTGTGAAAATAACCTGAAGAAGCAGCAAAACAATGGTGTGGCACTCGGTGCACCCATACCCCATCGAGAGTCAGCCCCAGCTGACCACAGCTACAGGGGACTGTGACACGAGGACAGAGCCAAGGAGCACAGCCCAGGAGATGGGGATTTTCCATCCCACATGGCAGCCCATTTCCTTTCCGTGCTCTGAACTGTTTTCATTATCTTTGTTTTTCTCTCTTTCCCCTAAAACCAAGACACGTTTTACATCACTGGGGTGTCAAGGGCAAAGATTTGAGGAGACCCTGAGAGGCTTTGGGAGAAATGTATCATTTAGGGACCCCAGCAAGTAAATCTAAGAAACTCCAGCAATAAATGAATGAAATTCCAACAAAGCAAGGATAAGTAACAACGATGTAGGGGAAAAGGAGGCTTCTCTGGAGAATGTATGAGGGATCATAGGCAGGAAATAAAAGAAAGTTTAAGAAAACAAGAACTGTACAAGAAGATAAGATACTTATGAGGAAAAAAAATACATAAAGTTTGCAGCGGATGACACGGGGTAAGTGGAAAAAGCTGACCAGGATTAAAGAAATTATTTGGCTAGACCGGTATCCTGTTTTCCTTCAATGGCAAGACCAGATGCTACAGAGAAGTGGTACAATAGATAGCTACACAGCTGCAGAAGCAGCTTCACTCAGACCCCAGGGGGAGGACAGGTGAGCTCACCCTTCAGCCAGGCAACTGCCATGTAATTGCTCTCTGACGGTGCAATATGAAAAATGTATTTGCAATGGAAATCTTACTGATGTAAATATCTATTTGTTGCACAGGTTAAATGCAACAGCTTTTGATAATATCTCAGGGCAATAGTTTCCAGGGAGAAATTACACATTGTATCTCCTTTTCAGTAGCAATGTCTTGCCTTTCAATTTAATTGGTTTTTCCTTTGCTTCTGAATTATAATAAAGGTATAGCATGGTAGTATACCATGTTTCATGCCATGTAGTACATATATAATCTAATATGTACATATATCAAATTAATAACTTATTTTTCCTCTTTCTAAATGACACAATGGCAATTTGTATGTATATCTCAAAGCCATCATTTTTCAGGAATCAGACTTGTGAATAAGGAAACTTCTAAAATGTGTTTTAGACAAACTTGCCTAAACCATCTTTGCAGAGCAGCTGTTGACTGCATTTGTATCAAATTCATCAGGTCCAAACACACTTTACTTTGGCAAACTTAGCAGGAGCTCTTGGAAGTTTTTGGTGAGCCGTGATTCAAACAGCACTTATAGACAAGCCTGGAAAGGAAGATTTTATAAAGCTGTTGCTGCTAGTAAAGGATTTACAACCCAAATGCCAACATGAGCAACAAGTTTTCTCCCTTTATCCTAAGTGCCTTTCAGTGCTTGTACTTTTTTCTCCCTCCGTCCCCAAAGAAAAACACAAATTTTGCCCTAAGGGACAACATCATTAAAGAAAGAAACAGTGCATTCATAAAGCTTTAGAAGGACACAGATCATTCAACGGCTGTGCAATTACTCTGAAAAGCTACTTATTTTTGAGCACAGAGCTTTCACTCAACAGAGGCCTGAGGCATCACGATCTGATCTGTATCTGCAGCGTCTCAACTAGCCTGATCTAGGGCTTTTGCTCATTACAGAAGCTGTAGCCATGTGTGAGGTTTACATCTAGGTTCAAATAGTTTGTAAAGCATTTTGGAGCTGGCGTTGCATTAAAGTGTATTACCAACTGATAATAATTTCTGATAATAAATTAAGAGTAATTTTGGATACCTGTCTTACCCTAAATCCACCTGAGTTTGTTTTTGTTTAAGATTTACAAGCCACTTCCCCTACAGAATTCATACACACTAATGGAACGCTAAGTGACTGAGCAGAGGCAACAAGAAAAGCAATTATACCCACAATGCTGTTAGGTAAACGAAGTGAACGAAATAGAGCATACTCAAGCAAGACCATTTTTGAAGATTATTTAGAGCCAGGTACAACTCTCATAAGCCATTAGAGTGCTCTGATAGCAACTTTTCTACCTAGATGGAAGTTTTTTTCCCATTGGTTTCTCTGACCAAATTTCTATAAAAATGCTGTTCCGTACTACCTTTGAAAGCAGTAAGAAATCAAATTTTTCTCTTACATACCTGCATAGAAAAACATATTGAAATGCAGGGGAGTGCTTTCTACCCTCTAAATCATTGTGATCGTGGCCCACTATGCTTATAACACTATCATTCTGGCTGACAAGGACATTAGCTGGAGCCTCTTCAGCATCCCTTCTCATGTTGACACTACAGGAGTCAAGCTATTATTACTATGCTCTTTTTACAGCTTCTTAAATATCAACTTTTTTTTTTTTTTAATATATATTTTCTTAAACTTTCCCTGACCCTCTCCTCCTGATCTGAAAGCTCCAGCAATTCTGCTAACCCTTTGCTGACTGTGCCTCCAGAAATATCCACAGCAATAGCTGTGGGACAACTACTCACATATTAGCAACCTGGGTGGGAGCCATCGATTGCAGGGCCTTTTAGGGTACTGCAGCTTCAACACACATAGAAAGACATAGTGGTGAGGTGAAAATGACTTACAGGCCCAATTCCTTTCTGCAGTTCAACTCTATAAGCTGTAATAATTCACTTCAAAGGAAAGATGAATGGGTTACTCTACATTTATACAACGGTAACAGAATAGAGTTATATCCTAAACATTTCTCAAGAAACTAAAATCATTCTTTGTAACACTTGCTCCAGATTAAAATTAGATTTTCATTTCACTTGCATGCATTCGAGATGAAAAAAAAGATAACAAATCAGCACAGGAATCCACATGGTGAAATAGTCAGAATGCAATAGGGGTTACAGACCTGTACAAAAACAGGTGACTTCTCAGCGGCCCCATCACTGTATTTCCAAAGAAATGTTACAAATTCTCATGGCCAATCCTGCAAGAAGTAGAAAGAATAGTTAAACCTAGAGAGTTTCTAAAGGAAAAGAAAATAAGATCAGCTGTCTCCTTGGATACGCAATGCTAAAAGCCAGTGTAGAATTGGTTTAGAGGATGTTAAACACTTTAAACTACGGAAGCAGCAAGATCATAACAATTATTTAAATATAACAAAGCCCAAGTTAAATAAAATATAAAATGCTAAGTTCTTTTTAAAGACATGTTATTGAAAACAGTCCTGATAAAAATGCAATGAATATATGGGACTAGATTGGAAATAAAAGAAAAAAGAGAGAATACTGCACCAATTTATATTCCCTTTGAACTGTCTGTAATGCAGACCTTAAAGTGCATTTTCAAACATATAGCATATCAAAGAAGCAGACATTTATTTCTAGCCATGGCACTTCTAGACTTTTGGTAAATGAAACCAGAAATAGTCTAGTGGAACTGTGCTGTGTGATAAAGCATGTACTGATGGGTTCTGCCCAACATCAGTAAACAATTGTTTTTCTTTTAAGCGAAGGAAATGATTTCAGCAGTAAACAAATACCTTACGTCTTGCATGAGTTCTTCAACAGAGTCAAGGCAAACCAGTCGTTTCACACCTCCTGCATGTGCTACTCAAAGTCAAAATACAAGTTATGTTCCCCAAGATCTATCAGTTGCTATGTTTTCGATTATGACAGCTATGATACACAAGGGTAAATCCAATACACAACAGCTTTCAGCTATAATCCCCCTGGAATCCACGCCCGTTGTTAGAAGGATAATTATCTGGGTATCCCCGAGGCCAATTTTTGCAGTTTTCATACAAAAACCACCTCTTGCATAAGACATGAAATTTAAAATCATCCCCTTCACAGATATCATTGAGTCACTCCATTACCTCTGGGACAGATATAAATTATGCATTCTTTGATTCTCTTTAAAATTTTAGATGCACAAGGGGACTGAGAAGCATCTAAATGGTACTAAAAATATAAGGCATTCAAGAAAGAAACAATAACTTGTATGGTATTAACTGCTACAGTGCTCCGAAGGCTCCCTGCCTGGTCAAGAAAAGCACATAAAGCACTGAAACATAACAGCAGGCTTGCATGCTAATGGCTGCTAGTGACAAGGACTCATTGAATGTCACTGCTTCACATACTGCGTACTGTTCATTTTTCTTATCTGTGTGACCTCTCCTTTGAAATGACTGATGAAACTCCTGTGAATTAGCATCTCTGCTTCTGGGCATTTGCCACCAAGAAGGCATTCAGCAACATCTCTACTGAAACACAAAAATGAGGCAAGAAAAACAAATCATAAGCTCAACAAAGACCAGTAACTATGCCTGTTAAAGGATAGTCAGTCCATACTGTGAAAGGCACGCTTCTCTGAAGCTTCCTTGTTAGGTTGGTTTTTACCTTGACGCCTTTTAAGAGCATTGGCTTGTCACAATACATGCATTCATATTTCAGACTTGGCTAACATTTTCGTAATTGGTGTGAATAAAAAGGAATAGCTGTTACTGCACGAAAGAAAGAAATGTCTCTGTTCTAATGCCCTGCTGCTATGATGACCTATTTCACACTAGCATCTGTTCTGTTCTGATGAACCACTCCAGATGTAAGCTGGCAAAGCAGCACTGCAAGTATGTTGCCCAGACATCCACTGAGTGCTGCAGATGTTTTGTTCCACACTTCACATTTAATGTGTGCCTGATTAATTTTTCCTTTATTGGTTCAACTCCTTGGCCCAGAGAATTTCCTATGAAGTTTGCAGGATCTGGGATCCAATCTGCAGCCATAAGGAGCAGCTCCCTTTTTGTTAGCGGGTTCATTAATGTCTGGAATAACGAGCCAAGAGAGCCTTGCTTCAAATTGCCAAAAGAAATGCAAACTTCAGTAATCTATTATGCCTTAATATTATTTGCCTGAGGAGTTAACACAACACTCATTTCAATTTCAAAATTACAGATGTTTGTAATATTCAGATGCATCGGTCTGACCAAAAATATTACGCCCGTTCTCTGCCTCAAGCCCTTGACCTGAATGAGGTTAGTGACAGCGATATGAATGACTTGAGCAGAAAACCAAACACAAAAGTAGTTTTATCGTGAAGTACAATATTTCTTCTGTCACTTAGCCATTTTTTTTCTCTCAAAATTACAGGGTAGACTGCAAATCTTCAAGGCTAGCAGCCGCTACGACAGCCTAAGTGCCATTTAAAAGAATTATAATTTATGACACGCCTTGGTAGAATAGCAAAGGTCACACAGAAGACTCCCCAGGGAGGGGAGGATGACAAAGGTTACAAAGATGACTAAAGACTAGCCTACAGGAAGGGATTTTCTTGGAAGGGAGATGTTTTGTTGCAACAGCTTCATCCTACCTAATGCACAGGCACCTCACCCAAACAAACAGCTCACCTTTAAGTTAGCTCCAAGGCATTGCTTATGAAATACAGTTCTGAAATTCATGGCTTAGCAGCCTGGCAATATGCCCAGGGCCCACTGAGCTGCTGCCAGACCATGGACGCTGTGGGTCTGCCCCACAGGGGACAATGGGATGCATCTTGACAGATCTGGGGACACTGCCTCGTGCTATGGGTAGATCGTATTTGAAACATCTCCAGGATGTTTGGGAATGTGACCAATTCCCAAAATGGATCCCACTTTCCCACTTCTGGGGCACTCAGTGCCATTTCCAGACCTCTGCCAGAGCGGCGCAGACTGCTGCACTGTTTCTCTTAGCAGCAACGAGAAGAGTTGGTATGAGAAGAGCCTGAGATACACATTCTCACTGACACATTCTTGCAGGCAGTTGTAAATCTGCATGCCAGCCAGCCAGCCATCATGCTACAAAGCAGCTTGGGCTGCTTTTCCTTGCCACAGCTACAGCGCTCCCCCCCTTCAGCCACAGCAAGCACAGAAAAAAAAAAAAAAAAAAAAAAAAAAAAGACAAGGATGAAGACAAGCAGGAACAACTCTTCTTGGCACAGCTCCACTCTGTGCAGCATCATTTCTAGGCTCATAAAATAAGCATTAACTGGTGGGAGAAGCTGGCGCTGCGAACCTGGGGGTAACGGGTGGTGTCTGCAGAACATCAGAGCGATAAAGAAAAGCTTAACCTGAAGCCAGCATGCAATACAAGACAACTCTCCCCTCTCTTCAGAAATGTGTGGCCATAACCATTTTGAAAACTGACAGCTCCCAACTGCACCCGATCAGTTGTGGATGCTGCCTGCAGCCAGATCAATGGCTGGTACTCGCCAAGGAGGTCTGCACAGCTCTCAAGGGTACAGCTCTAACAGTGGCCAGTCAAGAAGAGGCTATTGATCGCTTTGAGTATAAAGGATTATCCCTCGTTTGCTGCTGGGTGACTACTACAGCCCCATCCTCCTGGTATTCGGTCTCCATGCGTGGCCTCCCAGTGCATAAGGAGGAACCTACCTGCTGAGGGCTGGGTAACCACCCAGGTAGAAATTCTCATTTTGCATTCAGAAATTCCCATCTATTTCCTGAACGAAAATAGGGCAATTCGCTGGAGGGGACCAGCGTGGCGGACATTAATAGTGTCTGCATTCTCTTGTTCTGGCAGTCTATGGTCTATTACCATGGCTGATGAAGCCTTTTGCTGGCTATTCAGATCACAGGAAAATTTTACAGTCTCATAAACACAGGCAAATGACAGCGGAGTGCGCCTTTGGGAGACCGAAGGGCAGAAGGTAAGAGGAAGGCAGGATGCAGCCGAGCAAGCCTCAGATTACAGCAGTATGTTTTATCCTGCGCATCACCTGCAGGAACAAGGGAAGGGGAACTTAATGGCGCGGGAACATTGCGAACACAATGAATAACCCACGAGATGCCCCCTCCCAAGTGACAAATCCACAGGGCACGTTATCAGGAGCCCTCCCGAACCCGTCTGAGAAAAGGAAACAGGATTTTCAACGCATGTTTTGCCTCACATGTGGAGTGGCTTCCAGCGGTATGGCAACTCCTTCCAAGTGGCAGGCTATGATGGGCTCTACGTGTGGGGCTTTTATACTCTCTGGTGTTGCTTTTGTGTGCTCTGTCTTCCTTTATTAATTTTAAACAGAATGGGGGGATGTAAATTCACCATTGGGGATATGTCAGTGTTTGCTCAACATGCTCTATATACCTTTATTAATTTTGTATTGAATGGTGAATGTGATTTCACTCTGGGGGAAAATCAGTGATAGCAAAAGGCCTTTCCCACTGCAGGGGAGCAGTGGGGAAGGGGAGATTATTTCTCCCTGGGTTTGTTTAGAGTGATTTGTGTACTTTCAAGGATTTCTGAAGCTGGGGAACTTTTGCATTCATGAACAGGCAGTTTCAGTGCCATGACCTCCTGGTCTGAAGAGGCTGATTATCTTAACGTAGCATTTGTTATGCAAGTCCTACTGCTTACAGTACATTTTAAAACCAGAAGATGATGCCTTTTTATAATGCAGGAACAGAACTTAAAGGGGGGAAATTAAAAAGCTTTCAGAACAATACATTATTTTTTTTAATGGTGCAAATGCATAAAACCCACACCAACTACAAAAGGTTTATTGTCTGACAGAAGTTCACGAGGTTTAACTCCTGGTGTGTTGCAAAAATTGCCTCAATCAGCGTGGCCGGCTTGGCAGCCTGTTCTTTCCACCCCTGCAATTCCTGGGCCCCCAGTGAGCCAACACTTGGCTTGGGGCACACAGGGACACTTGACTCCACAGACCGCTATTCCCCGAAGCCTGATGGAAGAGAGCTGCTCTCTTGTGCATAGCTCTTTGCTCCCTACCTTTAATTCACACATCAAGCTTACACTCCATCACAGCAAATCGTTTTGTGTCCAGACTCTTAGTCCAAGTCTATCCTGACAATAAAGGGAATGTCCCCTTAGTGTCATTTTTATTTTCCTGGAAAAAGAGTCCCAGAGAAAAATATTTTCATGCCTCCCTCAATTTCCAGAGACTCCCAGAAGGTCAAAACTTCTTCACACAGCTTTG